CCTTACGTTACGACTACGGAACTTACGTCTCGTTACGTCTCGTTCTCTGCCATAGCCCTAACACTAGCGCTACTATCGGTCGTGAGCATCGCGAATTCTTACGTCATGATTGTGACTAGTCAATTCTCACACTCCGACCCAAATCTAAAGCCAATGACACATACAAAAATGTAAAGGTCCGTCTACAATGAGATTGGCTGTAAGCCGTAAAGAAGTAGGTAGTAGCGCAATTTCTACAACGATGGGTGCGTTCAGCAAAACGTTTGTTTTGCAACTATTGTAAGTTTCCTTCTCGCTAATTGGATCATACTTTTAGATCTAGAAGAATGGTCCTATCTCAGCAGACAATCATAAAACGGTTGCAAAACTGTTGAATCTGCTGAACGCAGCCGATGTCTGTCTACAATGGAACGGTGGTAATAGTATAATCGGCCAATGAGAAAACAGATTGTTTGAAATCAGAAAATACACCGTTTGAGGTTACATGCAAAATGTGATAGTTTTCTCAACACTTGCAATATTATGAATATAAGAAAAATTGGACTTTTCTTTTTATTTTGCTTATCTTGGCACAGTTTATTACTGTCGCAATGGCAGGTTATAAGAAGAAGGATGACAATAAAGCAACGATGTTGGTGGGTTCGACCTATGAACAGGCTACGAAATGCTCAAGGATTTTACCATAACCTCGTTCAAAAATTACTTCAGAGTGATCATGAAGAATTCTTTGAATTATATAGAATGTGGCCCGAGCAATTTAATTTCCTAGTAAATTTGCTTCATCCTCATCTAAAAAAAAAACAGTATTCGAGCTTCTCTTCCTACAGAATTGCGTCTTGCTGTCACTTTAATGTAAGTAAAAATTTTACATTTTAATTTTATTTTATTTTCTTCTTTGAAGTAATCTTATCATGATTATTATATATATGTATATATATATATATATATACAGGTAACAGGTATTTATCCCAAAGTGATAGCGCTAAGTTGAAACATGCAGAATTTAGGATAGGCAAGTCAACTGTTCATAAAATAGTAAATGAAACTTGTCGAGCAATTTGGACAGCGTTACAGCCAATTGTTTTGAAACCTCCTAGTAAAGAAGACTAGAAATCCATAAGTGAAGAGTTCATGGAAAAGTGGCAGTTTCCAAACTGTCTAGGAGCAATAGACGGTCGTCATATGAGAATTCAGGCTCCACCTAATTCTGGATCAGCATTCTATAATTATAAGCAATTCTTCAGCATAGTTTTACTTGCTATTTGCGATGCATCGTATAAATTCATATGGGTTGATGTTGGGCAGTACGGTGGGTATATTTATTTATCCTTTAACTGTTTACTATATAGTTTATAATATATGTTCTCTCTGTAATTGTCACTCTGTGATCTATTTTCAGGTTCGATAAGTGATGGTGGAGTATGGGCTAACACAGATTTTGCAAGTGATCTGGCTGCAGGCAATTTACTCTTACCAGATCCGACATCACTTCCAGAGACTAATATTCCTTTGCCTTTTTTTTTATTGGCGACGAGGCTTTCCCATTGTCAATACATATGACGCGTCCCTATCCGCGTAAAAAGCTGACTGATGATATGAGGATCTTTAATTATCGTTTGTCACGTGCACGGCGCACAATAGAGAATGTTTTTAGCATTTTAACTGCACGATGGCATATCTTACACAAACCTCTTTGCATGTCAATAACCAACTGCGAAAATTTGGTGAAAGCCTTCATCTGCCCACAATTATATTATGATTGCGGAAGAACAGGAAAATATGAACAATCGTTAGTATTATACAACAAATTTAATTGATATCGAGGAAGAAGATGGCAGCATTAGAGAAGGACAATGGAGAAGGCATTTTTCGTCACACTTTTCTGAAATTGGTTGAATGGGTGCTAACCGTGCAAATTCTGTAGCGAAGAAAATAAGAAATACCCTTAAAGAATATTTTGTTTCTCCAATTGGTCAAGCTCAAGCTCCATGGCAACATGATTACACTTTTAGAGGGGCTATTATCAATCCTCCTCATTAATATAATTTCTAACTTTATTATATAAATAGAAAATACTTATTGCAGCAAAGACTATACTATTTAAATTAAGTAAAAAAGATGTTTATATATAAATAAGATATGTTCATATATATTAGGCATTATATGTAAAAAAATATTGTACAAGCAATAAATATAATAATAGAAATCTATTAAAAGTTTATTGTTCCTTTTTTATTTCTTACATTTCAAGCAGTCTTATAATCTTTCAACGTACTATTCATATTGCTCGGTCGAAAACAGAGAACCTTTAACTTAAACCTTAAAAGCTATAGCTGTACATATTTTGAATTTATAAGTTGGAGTATTTCTACCATACATTCAAGACGCTTTTCTTCAGGTACAGATTTAAGAGCATATGCAATGACAATTGAGACTGGATCATTCACGGTTGATTGTGAAGATTGATTACAATTGTATTGATTGGAATTTGTCAAGGATTCTTCTATTTTTTGAGCGACAGAAGTCAAGGCTGTTGATTGCCTGGTCATAGCTTGTACAAATAGTTCATCCTCTTTCTTCTTGCGTTTAGCGTAGTTATCTGGTTCAGGAATAGTTCTTTTTGTTGACAACTTCTGTATCGATTTCAGCTTTTTCTTTGGTGCATTAACTACTGCAGAAGAACATTCCTCCACATTGAGATTACTAGACAATACAGACGTACGTGTAGCAACTTTTTCCTTGCTATTCTCAATCAAGGATATAGATGCATCATCATCTGAAGATAAAAAGAGATAAATGAAAACTATGCACTTCATATTTATTCCATTCTATATACTATATTTACACATATTAATTTACTTACTGCTAAACACTGACTCCAAATCACTTGTAGACCATATACTTGACGGAGACAAAAGCACTGATGCTTGTGGAGATACTTGTGGAGACGGTACTTGTGAAGACGGTGTATGTGGAGATGGTGCTTGTGGATATGATACTTGTGGAGACGGTGTATGTGTAGATGGTGCTTATGGATATGATACTTGTACAGACGGTGTATGTGGAGATAGTGCTTGTGGATATGATACTTGTGGAGACGATATTGATCTTGATGATAGTGAAGGTGATGTTGAAGATGAAGGTAAAATCAGTAAAGAAGGAAGGGAAGTTTTCTCTGTGATTGTGATCTTATTCATAATTTTCTTTGACGTATAATTACTGACAGTTCTGAAACATAAAAATATGTACTAATATCTAATGTCACGACACACCAAGCTAATTTTGGATACTTTTAGCAGGAGACATAGATGATACACAGTATAACACAATGAATCATTACATTTTTTTTGTTAATGTTAAACAAAGATCAATGTACATTGTGTCTCTTGTTAAAAAGTACAATTCATTTATAAATGACAATTATATATGTACTTGCGAGGCGTGATATGGTCTACCAAAAATAAACACAGATTGTAAAATTGCCATTTCAGTACATATAGAGGTTTTGCGCTTTGTCCGGAGATAATTATTCAGAATACCTCCCTCACCTCCGATTTCGATGAATTAGGCTTATTCGACGCGTTTTTGCACAAAACGAAAGAATCTGGCAGAAAAAAGTGTCGCTCTGCCTCGCGAACCGAGATATTTAGCGTTAAAGTTGACGACTCTGCAGGTTAGGAAATCTGTCATACCGACTATGTGTAGTGCTACCAGTATGCCTTCTTCGTGCTCTCTGACTTCATGCGCATGCGTCTCATTACTTGTCGGTCCAACAGGCATGTAAGGTGACCATTCCTTATTAACACCTTTCGTGCAAAATCAAATTCAAAAATGAACTACATGTAGCGCTACTCTATTCCAAATAAATCCTAACCCATGTGGACAGTGGGGTGTATAGACAGTAATGCTTGGGTTACAAATATTCCAAGCGGACAATGTCTAAGCACTACTACATACGTTTAATTTATTTTATAGCATTGATTTCAAATTTCGTGCACATAGTCGGTATGACAGATTTCCTAACCTGCAGAGTCGTCAACTTTAACGCTAAATATCTCGGTTCGCGAGGCAGAGCGACACTTTTTTCTGCCAGATTCTTTCGTTTTGTGCAAAAACGCGTCGAATAAGCCTAATTTCATCGAAATCGGAGGTGAGGGAGATATTCTGAATAATTACCTTGTCCGGATTTCCCTTTGAGACTTACTATTACCTTCCGTCTTTCTTTACCAAATCGTTGACGAATGTTGTATCACATCTTCGCAGCATCTTTTCCTGGTGATAAAAGAAATTAAAACATGAATAAAGTAACCTAAACCTATCCCTAACCCTAACCTCAACGTCATATGCAAACATATGAACTAATTTATATGCATCTTACCTGACATTCGTTGTGACAAACAAGATCCAATGCTCTCTCAAGCTAATGGCTCCTGCATACTGAACGCGAAAAAGCTTACCGCGCGGCAAAATGCGACGCGGTAACCAATGAACATGTTAGGAGTTGTAAGCTTATTGGCTACCGCGTCACATTTTGCCGCGCGGCAAATGTTTGCGCGTCTAGCGTGCAGAAGTCCAAAAAAATATTTTTTATGCCACTGTAAAAATCGCCTCGTTGATTGGTTGCTGCTTTCGCTGCTTGACGCTTGACGCTTGCATGTGAATGCACCTTATGTTTACCGTAAGCCGTAGACAGTACCGAAATGGAAATAATCCATTTCACTTACGGCTACCGTTACGAGTTGCGATTTCCTTTACTGCCTACTGTTAGGGTGCTATTACATGAGCGCGGAAACGCGGAAATGCGGAAACGCGTAACCAATCAGAAGCAATCCTGTTAGGCTGCCATCACATGCGGTGTACCTAGCGTAAGCGTAACCTGCGTATTTTAGTAATTTACCAGAAGTTACGCCAGTTTAAAAGTCATCATTCACATGGCGCGTTTTTCGTAAAATTCGCGTAAAGCATAGCCAATATCTTCATAAAGCTGACCAATAACAGATCAGGCCTTCTATTGTACAATAGAGCAGAAATACTAAATGACTTCTTTATTGGTTGTTATTATTTAAGCGTATTGTTAAATACGCGTCATGTGAATGGGATACTTTGTATAAGAATGTGTGGAAGCGCAATATATGTAGTTGTATCAGCCGTATGAGGTTAAGATTGCAGTAAATAACAGACATAATGTATATGTATGCCGGATAAAAAGTATTGAACTGCTTTGATAGTCGAGTAAATACATCATATAAATAACTTGAAGCTCGGAATCGTTACATTTAATTTTTTCATTGCCTATTAAAAAGTGTGAAGGTAGGAAAGGTTATTTATTACTTTTGTCATATGTACTCCTAGTCCTTTTGTTTTAAATAAAATAAATTTTTATTTTCTTTATCTTTATTAGTAAGTTTATTAAAAGAACTCGTTTTCCAAAAGTTCAGTTTCCTTGAATATAATGGATTCCAACCTTATGTCAGTGATTATTAGCAAAAAATTGCAACAGTGGAAGAAGATGAAACTGACGTTACAACATCGGAAAGTTGGAAAATCGAATATATTAAAACTCATTGCACTACGGAAACTTCTAGTAGAGCGTGAAAGAGAAGGAAACAAGAGGATGTGGGTTCGCTCAATATTTACACAATTGCAAAGACATTTGCAAGGAGACAGTGACAATCTGACCATAGAAATGCAGCTACAAGATCAGGAAATGTTCTACAATTATTGTAGAATGTCTGTAGAAATGTTTGATCAATTACTAAGTATTGTTGGGCCTCTTCTTGAAAAACAAAATGTTGTTCGAGAACCAATATCGGCTCGCACACGACTTCTAGTATGTTTGCGTTACTTAGCTTCTGGTGACAGTATGGCCTCAATATCCTATGCATTTAGGATTGGAGTAAACACTGTTTCAAAAATTGTTTCTGAAACATGCGAAGCATTGTGGAATTCTCTTCACGAATCTGTAATGCCACCACCAAATGAAGAGACTTGGTTGAGAATCGCGAGTGAATTTGAGAAAAAATGGAATTTCCCGCATTGTATAGGTGCGATAGATGGGAAGCACGTTGTAATTCAGGTCAAATTTTTTCTGGAATATATTTGCTGTTTATTTGTATTGTAAAGTACTTGAATGATTAATCTCTGACATTTTTTTTTCTATTTGCCTTTTAGGCACCACCTCATAGTGGGTCAGTATATTATAATTACAAAGGAA